TCTCTGCGGGTATTTTGTTAACTCAAAATTATTATATACAGAATATATTTGTTGCGAAATTTTCGACTATCTGCCATGAAAGCTTAAAAAAAAGTTTTTCCTAAAAGTTCATTTTTTTAAAATATTCTTACAACTTTTTGTTACCAAGTTATAATACATGCGGATTAAATAAAAGAGTATTCTGATTTGAATTGCATATAACTCCGTTAAAAATCATTATATGCAATTAAAAAATCAAATTCTTAAAGCTGAAACTTTGGTTTATGATACAATTACTAATTTTTTAAATATAGACTTATATGTATATAAATTTGAGTTAAAAATGATATTATACTGTTCTTATAATTATTGCGCAATGATTAAAAGAAAAGTAATGTTTTTAGCTCAAATTTATATATATTCTATTTGTTTTTAATTGGCGATTATATCACTCGATAGAGCAACGTTTCAGCGCGCACGCTTTTTTTATAAGAATCTGTTTTTTTTTATTATTAAATCCTCGAATCATTACAGTACAAAAAAATGCAAGAGATTAATTTTAAAGATTACATTCTCAGTAACTTATCCAGAATAGAACAATTTAAAATCTTTAAAATCAGTCTCTTGTATTTTTTTATACGACTAATGGTTCACGATTTAATAATTAAATATTCGCATTAGCGCTTTTTTTTAATGAATTTCTACAACTTACAATAACTTCACAAAAAAATCTCAATTTTTTTTGCGAAACATTCATGTTTTTATCTATAGCAATATATTAGCTTTAAAGAAAAATAAAATGATGATGTTTCAAAGGTACACGTTTGACGTGGAATGCCTCATAGAGTGTAAATATACTAATAAATAATAAGTCATTTTACAAAACATCTAAAGTATTAACTTACAATAATAACTAATGGTACAAATTCAACTGTGTTAATTTTTGCCCTTGTGTTGTTTTTTATGATCCTGCCATTTTAAATATTAAATTAGCAGCGCCTGTTTTCTTAGAAATGATACATAATCTAGAATTGTTTTAGGTAATACAAAATAGTACAAATTCAATCCTATTGATTTCTGATATTATTTTTCTTTCTTTCTTTTATTTTGAATTGCCAGCTTAATATTAGGCTAACACCGCCACGATTTTTTTCGAAATGATGATAACAAAATTATCATTAATGGTAACATTTAGTATAAAATGAGTACTAAAAATTCCGATAGGTCCGATTTTCTGTTGATTTGGTTCTGCTAGCTTTATAAAGTTCAATATTTACAAAATTACAACTCTTTGAAGCGTCCCCTCACTTTAATTTAAACTTTAAACGCGTTTTTTTCATCAAAACGACATTTTTTCAAATCGGCATACATCATAATTTCTATAATTTTCATTCAATACTTGAAGCTTTTAAAAAATCTTCTTTTGGTAATTATCTAAAGAACTACGTAGCAATTTTACGATTATGAACTATTATTGTTATTATTACAACATTTTTGTGCAAACTTTTTTTATTAAAAATAATTTTTTTTTTCAAATCATTTTTACAAAAATGCATATTTCTGAAAATCCTTACGTACTTCTTTAGTAAATGTTATGTAGAAAATAAAAATTTTTGGTTTTTTGTTCTAAGTCAAACCGTTTCGTAATAATCTTGTGTGCTAACTTGCTGAAAATCAGCTTATTTCAATCAACCGCGCAGTGCTGCCATTTTGTTTAAAAACATTTATTATTAAAAAAGATAATACTGTGCGATATTTCGCTATTTTCGTCATAAACAATGCAAATATGTCTTAACACTTAAGATAAAGCGCACGATAGACAAAGTGTTGGCCGAAGTATTGTGTCGTTTATGGACAGTCCATGGCAACGGATAGGTATATCCGTACACGTGGATTCGACACAATTTTAATTGTTTTCCATAAACGATACGACAGTCAGTCGACTCTTTGTCTATCATATATTTTTTTATCCTTAAACTATTATTTCAAATTGAAATAACATACAGCTATGCAGGAAAAAGAACAAGATCAAACGTGATAAGTGTAACAAGCTGCAAGATTAACATAGAAAAAAAATCAGGGTCATTTAACGGATGCACCATGTATGATGCAAATTTTATTAGTTACTATTTAACATCATAATTGTGATTAATTTGCAAAATATCAGAACTTTCATTGTTTTATTAAAAGTAATGTAATTTACTTTATATTGAAACAATACAGAAACTGAAGGACTTTATTTTTATACTTATATCTGCAAATAAAATCCATTCCATTTTCCATCGTTCTGTTTTGCATAATGCCTGTTAATAAAAAATATATTATTATATATAATTTTATATATAATTTTATATATAATTTTATTTACATATAATTTTCGTAAATTGTATTACATATTGCTAATATATTCTTTTTTTGCTAATTTTCAGAAAAAAAAAATTTCTAATAAAAAGTATATAAAGTTTTTATTATTATTGTATATCGGTTCTTACACACACACACACACACACACACACACACACACACGCACACGCACACACGCGCGCGCGCGCGCGCGCGCACGCATGCATGCGCATCCACACATAAAACTAATTATTCATTCATTGTATTACTGTTCTTCTTTATAATTTGTATGAAGCTAAAAAAAAACAAATTTTTTTTTATAAATATGTAATTTGAAAACACTGCATATTCCGAATGATAATCCAGAAATGATCTTTATAACATGTTGTCTTTGCAATCATTTACTTGAATATTAAAAAATAATTGTCGGTTCACACACACATACACACACAAGATTTATACCTAATAACTCTTGATAGTTCCATTGTATCTTTAATGATACATATGCGTGTAGAGAGCATCATTAGTACAATGGAAATTCCGTTTTCAGATTAGTAACGTATGATTATGAGCCAGCTAATCTTAAAGATGTAATGGTGTAATCTGTTTTTTGTCTAATTATTTCTCATCCGTAATGCACCATTTTATGATTACAGTGTTATATAAGCTATAAATTTTTGCATGCAAAAACAGATTGCAAAGCAATTATATTTGAAACGCTGCATTTACAATTTGTTTCAGAAATATCATTGTTATTTTTTATCTACGACATTAATTAAAGATAGCATTAATTAAGTATAAATTTTACAGTAAATTTTAATTGTAAATTTATTTAAAAGACGTTTAAGTAAGTAGTGTTTAAAGTTGACGTATTATCGTACATTATTTTTTTTATACATTTTACTCTTTGAAATTTGTTCTATAAATTAATTAATCGCATCATTGATAGTCATATTATAATAAGTCATAAGATATAATGTATATCTCTTTTATTGTAGTACATAATATCTTTCAATTGCAGGTAATAGAATGCTGCAGATATTGTCCAAAAATAAGAAAAAATCATCCTTATGTATACAAGTAATTAATATTGCGATACAATATAATATTAAAATATTTTTTTACCGCATATATGTACATCTATATACAAGGTATCTCATTTTAAAGGATCCATCCAAATATCTTAGAAACACTGCATTCAAATCAAAAAATTTCAGATAAAAGTGTGACTTCGAGAGGGACATCAGAGTGGCATTGGTTTGACCTTGAGTGGTGTTGTCAAGGTCAGGGTAAGGTCACTTTGAATTTTTTAAATGGAATCCCCCATTTTTCATTAGATATTCTTGTAACTTACCTCGAGAATTTTTCAACATTCTATAATAAAATATTTTTTTATTAAATACTTTGCGAATTATAAGACTCAAAAGTTACAGTATCGTCGGCATTAACATTGCCCAAGGTATTCAACCGACTATTAAAACCTCTTGAATATTGTTCAAGATCATGACCTGGATAACATTTTGATAAAATCAAGATCATTGTAGGAGGTTGTATCTCTTGTTTTCATTTCTATGTAAAATTGAATTTTTAGTGCAAAAGTGAAATTAAAAGGAACAACCTCCAATGATCTTCATCTTGACAATATTATCCAGGTCACGATCTGTAACTTGCAAACCTTAGAACTCAAAAAGTATTTAATGAAAATAAACTAATTATAGTGTTTTGGGAAGCTCTTGGTAAGCTATAAGAATATGTAATGAAAAATGGGGATTTCATTTAAAAAATTCAAAGTGACCTTATCTTGACAACGCCACCCAAGATCAAACCAATACCATCTTATGCCCTCCTCGAATAAAACTTTTGTCTGAAACATTTTTCGATTTAACTTAGTGTTTCTGAGATATTTGAGTGGATCCTTTAAAATGGAACACCGTATATTATATGTATAATAAGATATATATTTTTATATTTTTAATTTAATTTCTTAAATAAAGATCAAATTTTTTGTATGGAAAAAATGATTTCGTTGGAATATCTCAAAATTTAACTAGCTACAAATCTGAAAATAATTTTATTGGACTATAAAAATAATTACATAAGAATCTCAAACATAATGAATAATACTGCAAAATGTTTTGACATTCTAGTAATCATTTTGAGTATCCTATATATAATTATTTTGATGGTTCAACAAAATTATTTTCAGATCTACATATCAAGCTAAATTTTTAAAGCCTTTAATAAAATGAGAGGACCTCGTTAGCCTACAAGCACTAGTAATTGTCTACAGCACTATTTGTCTATATTACATTTGCCGACAGGTCGTTTGCGCACTACGTTTGCCTACAGTTCAATTGCCTATGTGTGCTATTGCGCAAATACATATAAAATTAAGAGAAAAAAGCACATTTGCGCACACGACACTATTGTTCACAAAATATATTGCATATATAATATTATTGCGTACAGATCGATTATCTACAAGCACTATGCTCTGTTTTCTACTTTAAAATTTTTACACTGTTTTAAAAACAAATTATTTTCTGTAATTTAGTCTTAATTTTATATTCGTGCGCAAAAATCCTTATAGGCAATCGATCTGTAAGCAATTAGGTATATGTATACAAAAAAAATTTTTTAAAACGATTATGATACAACAGAGATTATTGAAATTGCAATTTATCGTATTACAAAAAGCATATTTTATTCGTATTGTACAGCGTAAACTACAGTAAGGATTATGCCAATTCGGCATAATTATAGATACATGTACATCTCGACGCATCTTCTTTTACAAAAGTATATTTATACTAACAATCAATTATGTTATCAATTGATTATTGTTCGTTTCATTTAACAATAAGTAAAAATATACATGTACTTATATCGTAAGGACTGCTTTATCCATTTGAGCGTCGCAATCGCATTAATACGTATTCATATTTGTAAATCGTCGATTCAAATCCTTAACTTTGGTGAGTTATAAGAAAATATATAATACAAATAAGAATTTTAATATATTAATTTACAACGACATAGAGTCATCTTAAATTGTTATTTTCCTTTCCCGTTTTTAGAAGTTTTATTTCTACCACTTAACGATTTAACACTAGAAAAATTAACTCACGCTTGTTTGTAATCTTACATGTATATGAAACATATACTTACTGTATATGAAAAAACCTCTTGAGTAACAATTCATATACAACAAATTAACTTAATAATTTAATTTGTTTTCAAAAATGTATAAAAATTTGTTTTTTGCATCAGTTTTTGAGCACTGATACAGATACAGAGTAACGTAGAAAGAATTTATTTGCCATTATTTGTTCTAAGTTATCTAAAAAATATCTTTATGTACATTTGCACGCTATTATCTTCAACATCGAAACCTAAGCAAAATACAAGTCATTAAAATGACATTAAAATGATTAAAAATCACGTTTTAATTATGTATTCGATTTATTTTAATGTCATTTTGACTTGATGTTATCGTGACTTGTTGTTCTGCTTAGGAATATGACTGCGAAATTCGCAAGCTTTTAAACGTGCGTAAACACTCATTTTGACAGCTCGATAGAACCGTCTTTCTCTTGTAAAGCATCAAAAACATTTGACCTTCAATGTGTGAACTTAATCTGGCAAGATATATATATGTATATAAATTCATGCGCTTATAAATCATTTCAGACGTTCGTCGTTTCATCCGACCTTAATTTTAAGAACACAATTATTCACATTTGATCTTCCTTAACCCTTTCTTCTTTTTCTTTGCATCATGAAGCTCACAGCCATTGGATAAAATAGAATGGTTGTTCGTGAAACATCATTGATTAAGGCATGTTTGTTCACACAGATTAGGCACAATTGAGGGCAATTAATAAGACGCTCTTGAGGAACACGTACGAGTTGATCTTTTCGTTTTACCTTCGTTTAGCCGCACAATTTAGTAATAAGCATTTGAATTCTTCTTTTTTCAAATGATTAAAGTGTTTAAAAAAATTGCTTTGAATTTCTTTAAATATTGTACGAAACTGAAAGATTTTTGAAAGTTTGAGAAGACTCTTGAAAGTTTTGAAACTTTTGAACTTCTAACAAATCTTTCATTTTAAATGTTTGAAAATCTGGATGTGTGTTTTTTTTTTAAATAAGACTGTTTTGTCCGAAATGAGATAAAGTGTTAAAAAAAAGATGTATTCTTAAAAGATTTATACGTTCAAGATTATATATTTTAAATATTATTTTGTTTTGACTGATATTCAAAACAGTTCCAGTTTTTGGCATATATTCCAAATAATTGATAATATCTTAAGTCACTGCATGATCACGCTGATTTTATGCTTGAATTTAATGCTTAAATTTGACCATAAATTCAAGATCAATGCTTGATTGTGTTCTAACGAAAATATACATACTCTCTAAATTCTTTGGAGTGGAATCTTATTCTTGAAAAAAAAATCTTGAAAGGATGATTTTCAATTTTTGAAATTGAGATTTCACAATTCAGAGTGAGATTCATTCTAAAAGATTTAGAGAGTACTGACATAGTAAAAAGGGGAAGATATAGTATATTTCAAATATACACGGTGTTCGATAAGTTTTAACAAAGCGCTCATGTAAATACAGCGGATTAAACTGAATTGAAAAGTCCTCTGTTTAGCCCGCTATATATGAGCTTTGCGGACACCCTGTATATGTATACGTGCACATATATATATATAGTATAGAATAGTACCCTGCACAAATGTTGCAATCGTAACTACCAGCCGTCGTCGTTATTAAATTAAGGATATAAATAAGTTACATTAGTATTGGTCTTATTATCAACTAAACTTTAGCAACTCTAAAATGTGACAAAAAGTAGATACTTCGTAATACTTTCGAAATGTATTAATGCCTCTTCGACAATGAATATTATTTTCGCGAGAGTTCTCACCGAGAAGTCGCGAGAATCCATTGTTCGCGTAAAGTTCCTTATATGATTGTTATTGATTGTTATTGTCGCGAGATGCTGGAACCGAGTCTTCGTATCGCCATTTTAAAATATAATTTACGAGATTATGAAAAATGCATCCATTTTTGCCTGCGAGGTTCTACGCGACAGATAATAACACTTGTATTAACTAGCATAACTTGTAACCACATCTGATTTTACAACGTTTATACATATTGATGGTTTATCGGGCGGTCTTAATCTTCCAACGCAGGAAGAGATACGCGGCAATTCGCAGCACGACAAAGATGAGCAGGAGAGCGAGAATATCCAAAGTAAAGTCAGCGTTAAGCATGTCCAATTCTTCCAAAGTCGTCTCTGGATCCTTGAAGTGGCAGTATACCTAAAGTGCACAAAAAAATTCAGCAACACCTGTCGCAGTCAACAATCAATATTGCGAATGTAGTTTTTAACCTACCTGGAAACATTTTAGTTTCTCTCGGCCGAAGCCGTAAATGGTCAAAGCAGTTCCTTCAAAACCGTATCTGATGTAACTGAGATATGTGATCCATCGTAGATAGACCGGAATCGCGTCGAAGCTGACGAAGAATCCTGAGAAGAGAAGAAAAGGCACCGACATCACCGGCGCGAGGAACACGCCGTTTTGCACGTTCATCGCCGCACCTACCATGAGACCCACTGATTGAGCAACAAAAGATATCAATAAACAAGTGCCCAAGAACATGGAGAATCGCGTTATATCCGCTGGCTGACTCGTAAGGAAGTACACAACAGTGACGTACAATATACAAAATACCGTCTGAAAAGCAAAGGATGAGAGAATAATTATGTATTCGTTTGTGCAACACTTATATGTTATTTCTTTTCTGTCGTTATCTGATAAATCTTACCTGAAACGGTAGATCCGAAATGGTAATCGCCAAATAATACGACTTTAGAGAGTACCATCTGTTGAAGTTTTCTTTCAAAAGTACAGGCAGTTCTAACGGAACTACAAATAAAAAAAATAAATAAGTAAATGGTTATTATAAGGATAATGTATTAATGTTGCTCTTCGCGGTCGCGAGGTAATAGTGTAAATTACAAGCAACTTACAGGACAGAATTGTGATTGTCATGGAAGTATACATCAGGAACAACATGTTGAAGAACAAGAAACCCAGATTACTAAGTACTTTGGCGCCATCGTTTCCGATATCGTAATACAGTGCGCTGATTAGCCCTGCTACTAGAATGTGAGCGAAAAGTCGGAGATACATGAGAGTCTGCAAACATATAGGAGGAACATTAAAATTAAACAACATTTAAAAATTTAGAAATACAGTAGAGGTGATGAATATTTCATAGATAGTTGCGCAACCTTAAAGCTGCGAATATCATAAAACTCATAGTTAGAAAGGCGAGTAATCTTTCTTTAAACACCTACCCAATCTCTACGACTGAAAAGTAGGGCGCGCTTCAGAATGATGTAAAATTGCTTGAACTCGGATATGGGATATCTCTCAGGTGTGACTACGATTGATTCATCGAGCAGAGCTATGTTAGCATTGTCCTTCTTATCCGAATCTATTGGTATTGTCACATCTAATGCTAAAATATCGATTTTAATATTTATATTGTCTTACTGTTTGTAGCATATTTTATATATTTTGTTATGATAAATCTACGAATTTGTCAATAACTGCTCTTTGTGATCATTATACAGCGTGTTTCATTTTTATTTCCCTAGGCAGGTATTTTTAAAAATATGGAAGATACGGAAAAATGTTTCGGATAAAAGTTTTATGATTTCGAGGACGATATAACATAAGATGGTGTCATTTATTTGACCTCGAATGCTGTCGTCAAAATTAGAGCAAGGTCGATCTTTTGGATTTTTGGAATAAAATCCCTTATTTTTTATTACATATTCCTGTAGCTTTCCTCGAAAGCTTTTCTAAATATTATAATAAAATTTTTTCATGAAGTTCTTCTTTAGTTACAAGATTTGATTGATCCTCTGGTGGAAAATTTCGCTGAAATTATTCCATATTTTGGAACACTCGCCAAAATTTTAGCATTTCAAAAAAATTTCAGTTTAATTTCAGCGATTCATTTTCAGCAAAATTTCAGAGAAATTTCAGTTCTATTTCAGCAATTTTTTTAGTATATTAGCTGAAAAATTCAGTTTCAGTGAAATTTCAGCAAATTTTCAGCAATTTCACTGAAATGTTCTAAAATGTGGAATAATTGCAGCGAAATTTTTTTACCAGGAGAAAGTCATAGAACCGTAAGCATTACCCAAGGTGTAGCATTCCCGATGCGACGGCTAAAACCTTTCAAATATTGTTCAGAGTCATGACAACATATAAAATCAAGGCAATGGGAGCTCATACAGCACAGAATTTGCAACAATATCGCTGCAAAATCTCTGCAACATTGCTGCAATATGTAATGTTGCTGCAATGTTGCAGCAGTGTTGCTTTTGTACTACTACTAGGGAGGTTATTTCTCCTATTTTCATTTTTATTGTAAAAGTAAAAAAAAAGAGGAATAACATTGGCTTACTTTTACATAGTTGTCAAGGTTATGACCCTGAATAACATTTAAAAGATATTAGCAATCGATTGTGTAAAGCTAAACCTTGGATAATGTTAATGCCAGCGGCACTGTAACTTTCAAGCCTTATAATTCGAAAAATACTTTATGAAAAAATATTTTGTTATAGTTTAAAAAGCTCTCAATGTGAGCCACAAAAATAAAAAAATAGAAGATTCCATCTAAAAAATTCAAAGTGACCTTGCTCTGTCTTTAACAACACAAACCCAAGCAAACCAACACGGCACTATCTTAGATCTCCCTCAACATCTTAAACTTTTGTCTGAAACGTTTTTCCGTATCTTTCATATTTTTTGAAATATTTGCCTGGGAAAATTAAAATGAAACACGCTGTATAACCTTTGCGATTCAAATTATTTCTTGAAAGTAAGCGAAGATTAAGTAGATAACTCATTCTAAACTTTATCTAATCGGTTGATCTAAACATGAATCAAAGAATTTTTATTAATTGAAAAAATTATATATGTAGATCTTAAAAATATAATTTACTGAATATAATTATATATAATTCGTATATGATATATTATAATGATTATATTATATCATATACAACGATAATGATCATATAATTGATGAATTATATGATAGGTTGACGCATTATTGAAATTAATTCGACATAAAACCACAAAGGATTAAGATAATAAGAATTAATCTAATTAAGAAAATATAAAGAGTGAATAAAAAGAGAACACACTCATGCCACAGAAGCTTGCAACAATATTACAACATTGCAGCAATGTTAGTGTAATATTAATTATAGAAACTATTATATTAATTATATTAATTATAATTATTCAATTATATTAATTGAAGTTATTTATAAACAATTGAAAAGAGTCGTCATGTTACAATCATTACCGAAATATATAATAAAAAAAAATGTTACCTTGCTTAGCAATGTCGTTTGTAGTGTAATCATGAATGAGTTTTCCGTTATTAATTTCGTTTTTCTCCTCCGGGAACTTTTCCTGCAGATTACTGATATCGTTTTTGTCTTTGATCTTTGCTTTGTCCAAATTATCGCTGTTCTTCAATATACCCGTCGCAGCAGTGCAATTGTTCATTCCCTCTTTCGTCTCGGAGAATGGATGTCCTTCACGTATATCGTACTTGCCGTTGTTTATCGCGTTAATTAAATTCTTGATATTGTCACCATATTCGCCGCACGACACTTCAATGACTATAAAGCAGACCAGATATCATATACTATAAATATTTGCGTAAACAAAAATTACTAATCTATTAAAAATTATTAATCTAAATAACAAAAATAAATCTTTTATAGAGACAACTTTTTCAAAAGCACATATTTTCCTTACTTTATCTTTGTTTTAATATAAAACGGTTATAAAATAATCTTATTTAAAAATACTTACTAAATGATGCTGGGTTGTGATAACTCGGACAATTGAGGCCAATTGATCTTAGGAAAGGCACCAACTGTGATGTAGAACCTTGATAAACGCATTGACCTTCGGCTAACGTATAGAGAGCATCGAACATCTCGAAAAGTCTTGCACTAGGCTGATGAATTGTACAAATTATCGTTCTGCCGCCACGTGCCAAAGTTTTCAGCAACGAGATGCATTGAAAACAGGATGAGGAGTCCAGACCGCTGTAAACAACCAAATAAAATCAATCAGTATCGTTATAGTATCCTTATACTTTCTTCCTCATTATATTAGCATATTGCATATTTTATGACAGCGTTAGAAAGTATAATTGTATTGGCATATTATATGATATTATATGTATATACATCGACGAGATACTATTAAAGATCCCCTGGTCAAATTTTCGGCGGTATAAAAAAGGCCCCAAGGGCCCGAAAGTAATTGAAGAGCGCTAACATAAACATTTGGCTCATACATTATTAAATTCATGATTTTTTAGTACATAAATGTTCCATAAATAAATATGCATATTTGTAAAGCTATAATATCCTATATATTGCAGAAAAATTACAATTTTTTCTCTGCAATATCATTTCTGTTGATAATCAAACTTTGACAATAACACTGAAATTATAAATTTTAAAGAAAAATAGAGTATTATTGAGTTCTAAATGCATAAATACGTCTATTAAACTAATAAATCATGAAATAAGTACAATATTATCAGTTTTTAATTCTTAATTACTTCAATATATTTACAAGGACGCGAACTCTGCGTTAAGGGGGGGGGGATGTCGATATTTTTAATAGTATCTCGTCGGTGGTGTGTGTGTGTGTGTGTGTGTGTGTAATATATTCATATAATAAAATAAAAATGAATAGAATTATTTATGATATATATTTTTAACCGGTTAATATCTGTTATATGTGCTAATGAAGAAGTATATATGAGCAACTATGAACGATCGTTAAGATAATTATTCGTATAAAGGAGAATCAAATTCTCGTACAGACCTTGAAAAAGTTGAAAGGACCGGTCTGATTTACTTTTGTGGCGTTGTCTTTTGCCATAAAGGAAACTGATATTGAGCGATTCTTACGGAACCGGTTAAGGAATGAAAAACATTCTGCGAAGGACATGATATTACACACGTAGAGTTAGAGGAAATCGAATTCAAACTTTTTGTACAACATGAATTGTTTTTATTAACTTGTGTCATTACACAAACACGACATATCCATTACAAAAATCTAATTCTGAAAAATAGTAATTAATTATTCTACGTATTAAAAGCACTATTATTCACTTTTCATTATTTACTTTTAGTACTTGAAATAAATAATTACTGTCTTCTAGTGTATAATAAATTGACCAATATTAGACCAATATTATTTCTGTAAGAGATGAGCTAATTTATTATAAATCATCGTATATGATAAATGCGTGGAATGAAATACGCCGCTGTAGATGCAAAAATTTCAATATACCATCTCTCGTCAGTGAAAGTCTTCAGCAAGAAAGAAACATTTAAAAAAAAAATCTAGTATCGTTTACTTTCTCCCGCTGCACGTTATGCCCTTTTGTATTTTATTTCGACTGACGTGAGATATTTTAAATGCGCGATATTTGTATATGTAATCTCTTTATATATTACAGGATTCAAAATGTGGATCAGTTTTTAGAATAATAAGTAGAAGACATTAAAAGAATTTAATCTAATAAGTTATTTAATTTTCGGACAGACTTGTGATAATTTCTAAGATTCAATGTTCGTGTAAACATTTATCGTTATATAGTTATATGGAAGATGCAGTCACTTCGTTGCAAATCCGGAACGCGGCCGATCGTTGTATCGAGAGTTCCTTGAAAGTTGCAAAGAGAAATTCAACGTGAACTACATGACGCGGTCATTAAAATTAAAAAAAAAATTCACAATCTGATTTCCGTAATCTTATAAAAAATGTGATTTCGTAGTGACATTGGCCGTGCCAAGATCGAGATTCGAAGATCAAAGAAAGGCGAAGTTTCTCTCTCGTAAATCTCATTTGGAGAAAGCAAAAGAGATCGTTACTTCTTGACTTGAGATCGGATTTCTTGTTGGTTGACGAACTCAAGATTTATTCAATCAATCTTTGAATAAATCTTTGAATGCACTATTTAAGTACTGTACACACTTCCTAATTCTCTCTTTTTAATTCTCTTTAATTATTGCTTTCATTCTCATTAAGCAAGTCGTGTCATAAAATTCGTCCTTGAATTAAAATTATTGTATACAGAGAATTAAAATTACACGTGACTTAAGAATAATAATTTGTCAATTACATTGTAATTTTTATCACAATATAATGTACATATTTATCTGATTGTGAGTTAATATGTTGGAAACTTGTGCAGAATTTAAAAAAAAAACATGATTATAATTAACCACAAAGTTGCTTACTGTTGTAGCGATACTGAATTATATATATTTTTCATATTTAAAACTTACCTAGTTGGTTCATCGAAAAACATTATAGGAGGATTATTCACTAACTCTAGAGCGATGGAGAGCCTTTTCTTTTGACCGCCACTCAGGTTCGAGGTCATAGTACGGCGATGCTCAGACAAGCCGAGAGTTTCAAGGATTTCCTGGATCTGTAGAAGGATAGATAAATGTCAATTAATAAATCGATAATACATAAAACTGAATATGTTACAAAGATTTACATTAAATTTTTATTTGTATAATTAAAAAATAATGCTGATAATTAACTGAAATTATACAGATTTTCTCAGATTCTCATGAATTCTAATAAATATTAATAAATAATGTTTTTTCTAGCATTGAAGTAGATGAAACAACGATGAATTTTTCTATTTCACTATGTATAATATTGTTATATATGTAATATTTATGTATTTTATATTTACATACATACGAATAAACAATTAAATTTAATTGTTCATTATTATGCTATCACGGTTTATCAAAGGGAAAAGCTCAAATAAGAGAATTAATTTACCACTTCTTCTTTCTCTGCTTGACTAACGTGTGAGCCGAGTTTAAGACTCGCTGCAACCTTCATAGCTTCCGCTACCGTTAGATTCATATGAAGTTGATTATCCTGCATGATGTAGCAGGAGAGTTTCCTGAAGGCACTGAGGTTTCTTTCCTGGCCATTTATCGTGATGCTGCCTTCTGCACTTGACATCCTGGTAAGAAATTTCTAATAAATAATTTGACATGGAAAATATACAATTTGTTTGTAATAATATGTTGTAGCGATTTCCTATAAATTCACATATTGCATCATTAATGCAGAATTAATGATTTATAGAAGATGGGAACTTATACACGTGTATCTCTCCCTTCATCATGCTTGTAGAAATGTCTTTCATCTATTCTTACGTCAAAATATATAATGCGATAATCGCTGAAAAGATTTAAACCAATCATAGACGTTCTTGACCGAAGATACAGTCATTAATAACTCATAAATTTCTTTGTCGCATAGAAACTCAATGTTAGATCGTATGTATATCACGAAAAGATTCTCAATCGTAGATACGTAAAACGCGATATCTTGCAAATATAGATATGCCGCACTGGTTGACTATGAAACCGGTTTGGAAAAGAAGCAAACAAGCAGCGAAACAACTTTTACGCAGCAACAAATACATTGTAGGTCACTTATTATTTAAAAGCAAATTGCATCGAACATGCGAACATTATGAAAATATCAAAAAGATAATTAATCTTGAAGCGCGATTATACAGCCAAAACTGGATGGATCAGAAGTGATTCGTATTATCGGTTACATTTATTGTGTCATCATATGCGTTTATAACTATCTTTGTATTTTATAATTATATACGTTTTGGACTTTAATTAAATTACGGTAGAATATTTTTTTAAATAGATTGCGACATAAAAACTTGGTAACTGCAAACAATACAATTTATTATAATTACAGATTTATTATAATTGCTTTATATACTATAAATATCTGTCTCGATCGAAAAGTAATCATACAATATCGTTGTGCTGGGCAATTAGTGACCGGATCTGCATGTTGACTTCCATAAAGTGTATACTTATCGAAAACCAATCCAAGCAGTTTAATAGGAAAGCAGTTCTCGCCGAGATGTCATGTGCAACGCCCTTGTACAATTCAAAGGTAATGACAGCAAAAAAGATATGTCAAGTTGGTTTCCTATTGACGAAGTTCTTATACAATCTCTATGCAAAATATAGCGGAGACAGGAACGCGCCTTGACATCATAATAACTGTATTCGATTTATACGCAAATAAAAAGGAACTTTTTTTTATGTATAACGCAGAGTATGAAGTAGAAAATCTCAAACGATAGTAATCTAAACGAGTTGTAATATATTGAAAGACGAATTTTAAAAGATACTGCATTATTTTTGGACAAATCAATTCAGAATCCGTTGATTTATTTAAATAAGTACATATGCTGTATTATTCGCGTCATTCCGAGACATATGTTAAAAAAAAATATATGTTATATCTTAAAAGATAAATTAGAAAAAAATTTCATGAATTTTTCTACAGCAATTTACATAATTTTTTCTGACAAAGACGTCATATTATTATATAAATTACTTCATCGATTAGAACCATTCTAATATTAGTCAGTTAATTATAGAGAATATTAAAAATCCTCACTTAAGAAAGTCTATATCCTGAATACATCAATTTTTTTAAGGATATATTAATTATTCTCTCTGAAAAGTAAATTAAAATTGAAATGTGCTAATATTTATATGATAATATTTATACTACAAATATGTATGAGAAAGATGTATGAATAACATTATGTTTTTATTCAACAACAGGTTTTTATTATTTACTTATTTTATTTATCATTAAAATAATTTAACGATAAAATATTTATCGTTAAATTATTTTAAATAATAATGACAGAAATCTCAGTTTTTTAATATAAGTATTTTAATTACTCTCAAAATGATTCATGCAAAATTTCATCGTGATAAAGCAATTAATTGTTGTATAAATAAAAAATAAATCAATTTTATTTATTCGCAAAACACCTAATATAATCTGTAATTTTGTCATAATTTTTTCGTTATTTTGAGAACGTATGTAATATATCCTTAAATCATTTTAAAATGTTAAATGTTAAATGTTTTTACGGATCGATTTCAGTACAGACACGCAGACAATTAACTATAAATAAATACCATGTAACTAATTTACGATCCGTAGTGTCATAATAAAACGCGAAGAAAGTGATACCGTGTATCGCCAAAGAAAGTGAGACTGTAGTATGGCGAAGAAAGTGAAATGTTTGGACAAGATTTGAACAAAAAATTGAAAGTGCATGATGAGGTCATGGCGAGATACATGATGAAATCGATCTTTTCTATGTAAAGAGACGGCAAGTTTATAAGAACGTGCGTGGAATAGATTTACGAATACCAATACTAGAATTTACTTGTAACTTTCAGTCAATTTTTAGTTACTGCAAATAAATTCCAGTACTAATGAATACCTAGATATTTAATAACAAAGCAAACTCCAAAGCTGAGGTACTAATTATCGTAAAGAGAAAGCAAAAGAGATATTCTCTCTGATTTCTCAATGTGTATCGCATTTGTTTATTGACATATGAACAATAAACGTTAGGATTTCTTGCAGGAAATACCTATTGCTCGACGTTTTAATTAATAAACTGACAGTAAATCTTAAGAAAACGCGAGATTTATAATAACATATCAAATAGTAATATCGAATAATAATGATTTAATATGACAAAGTTTTAATAAAATAAAAAAATGAATTCCTAATAAAATGTATGAAGATCATGCTGGATGATAAATTAAAAGCGATTTGTATAAGATTTAAGAATAAAAGATTTATGATAAAAGCTTTAACAAGATAACAAAATGAATTGCTAGTTTATGAAGATCATTATGAATGCTAAATCAAAAGTGAAGTTTTGGAAGTGATTTGGTCGTTTATTAATTGTCTTTATAAAATTTTTTAATTTTTTAAATATTATTAGATATATTTTTATTAGATATATTCTTTCACAACTTTTCTTTTAATAATCTTTTGCTAGTACAAAATTACTAACAATATAAGAGAATAATTAAAACGTGATAATTGTGAACACTCACATGAATCACGAAGCATAATTAATAATGGCTGTTTAACAATAAATAGAAAATGAACAAAATGACATTTTATCTGCTACCACTGCGAGCTTATTTGTATCTATGAGAATATATGTATAAATTTTAATCTAATAATATGTTTCGAGCTAATATAATAATATAATGACAAGTGCGTCTATTTTAGCAATTAATATGCGCAAGGTTATATTTAAAAAAAACCCACGCCTTTCTTATTTAGCGTCATTGTAGCACGCCACATTACATTATTATTTCATTGGCAATAATTATATAGTGTGGAAGCTCCACGCTGACTCACTTGTATCCGGTGAGGATATTTAAGAGCGTTGACTTTCCAGCGCCTGAAGGACCCATAATAGCCGTTAGCTCGCTGGAGCGCAGTCTGCCGCTGACGGATTTGAGGATTGTTTTCGAATCTGAAATTAAAAAATTGAACTTTTAGATTCGTGAAAAAACTAAGAGTAAACATTTAATTTAAGAGTAAATCTTAATGTTTCTTATTTTATACCTATCAACATATACTATTAAAAATAAAATGTTAATTTTAACTTAATAAAGACGTGTAGTGGACTTTTCGAGATATGCAAAAATTAATATTTTATTTTTGACAGTGTAATAGTTCCAATAAACAAGTAAAAGTATTTTCTGTTTGTGCAAGAATTAAAAAAAAATATGAAATAATTACATTATGACAAAAATTATGACAAAGTTAAAGAAGATGTCCAAAATTCGGATCCTAATTTAAAAAAAAATTTTTTATATTACCGTTTTTATCAAATATTACTAATATCATTACGTCATTCATCAATAAACTTATTGTCACAACTGGTTATAGGTGTTTAAATAAGTTTAATTCTTTCATTAGAGTACAGAAAGACAGATTAAATATAACTTCCTCCTAAAATGTGGTGTATAAAATAAATTGCAATGATTGCAACGCGTCATATGGGACAGATAAAGGGACAACTTAGCACTAGAATTAATGAACATAGAAATAATATCAAACATAAGTCGTCTAGACATTCTGTAATCACATAACATAATATATCATTCATTTGATTGGGAAGGCACAAAGATTTTAGATTCTGAGAATAATTATAAGAGAAGAATCTCAGAAATGTTATATTAAAGAACAAACAGAGGGAACTTAACTTGCAAAATGACACACAGAAAATCTGGACGAATCATATTTCATTCTATTAGAGTCCGTTCGGAATAACAATAATAAATATACTTGGATGTCGTTTGGTCTGTCCTAACGTTTTTACATTCGAATCGATTGCAATTAAATATTCATGTTTATATCTTGGTATTCATGTAAGTCTTATCTCGATTATTCTATTTATCCCATAATCAACTAATCCCGGAGGAAGGGGGGGGTCTCTCCTATATTTATTCATGGATTAAGATATGGAAAAATAAATTTATGGCATGCACGTATTTACAATAGCAGATAATTAAGGGATAATATTCACAATCTTATTTTAAGAAATATCTTAAGATAGCTGATACAGCTTTCTGATAGTTTATGATATCTTAAGATTATACTTAATATAAGAATAGACTATAAATATTGGCCTATATTATTAGGCCCGTTTGTATCAGCGCAGATTCACTTTAATCTTGGTTCAACTTATTCTTTATCTTTTTCTAGTTCTAAAGATTAGAAAAAGATAAAGAGTAAGAGATTAGTAAGAGAAAGTTAATTGGTGGAATTTAATGATATTCTTGACGAGAACTGATGGATTAATCAGAATTCAACATTTTTTTTTATACGATCGTCAATTAACCGTTGACCGTTGTACCGAGATGGCATAATTTAATCTCTGCTTTTTATGTGAAATCGACAACTAATATATCTCGGAGATATCGGACAAAAAGAACAGATTAAAGTCCAAGACAAATACTCTCGTTCATTGTATTCATATATAACCAATCAGTTTATGTGATTCACATGTAGTCGCAAGGCCGGAAGAGCTTTAATTGATGAGTCGATCCGCTACAACGTAAAAAGCTAAATCATTGCGTTATTTTCAGTTTAGTTGAAGTGTCAATCGTTCAGCGATTTATATAATAATAAGAGAAACTAAGCGATAAAAAAAAACAATAAAAATTAATAACGATTAAACGAATATATGTACAATCTGTATATTTTTATTCATAATTAATTATATAAGGATTCGGCATCATAATTTCTACGTGTTATTTTCTTCGCATATTTAGAAATGTGAATCAATGTGCATATTTTATTTTATATTTTATCTAATTGCAAACTGCCTGATTAAGCAGATAATATATAGAACAGGTACTAATTGAATATATTAATTAAATGAATCAGTTTTAATTTTAAATCTTAATCGTGGCAAAAGAAATTCATATACGTTTTCAAACAAATATTTTTCTCTTACTGTGTCAGACGCAAGTTTGGTTTGCGAAAACCATTGCAATTTTTGAAATGTGGAAATTCCATTTTCATTTCACTAAAAAAATATTTCTTCTAATATTTTTATAATTAATTTATTATTCTACTTATTATTCAATCAAAGAAACACGTTTTTGGAACACATTATTTAAAGAAAAATAAAATGAATTATTCTTCAACGCGAAGCATTCAGTATAATTTTATTTTAATTCAATATCCAGAAAAAAAGAATTTTTTATTTCTGCAATATATACATATACTGATAAACACAAAATTTATGAAGTAAAAGGAAAAAATGTTTACTGTATATAAAAAAATCTATCAATCTGACTTAATGCATGTAAAAAACTATAAGATTGTTTTATCACGATCAAATGTCATGTAATTTGACCTCCCGGCTTTATAACTCTCTCTCGATTTTACATTCTTATTTCAAAATTGTAAATAAAGTAGATAATAGTCTAAATAGCGCTTTAGCAGTTTCCTAAATCAAAACACTTGATTTAAAGTTAAGCTACTTTTGCTACGCGTCTATTCCAAAGAAAAAGCAACGAGAACGAGTTAATGTATTGTTGACCGCAAAACTTTGCATATTGTTTCTCACGTCACGGTCTGCATAATCAGCGAAACAATAGACTATACGATGTCCGGCAAAACGTGATTCTCTTAAAACGCAATTCTCTGTTCTTCGATTTTAAAACTTTAACATTTTTTAATAGATACCACTTAATGTAATCATGGGACAGAGTTCTCGAAATCATTATAAAATTCATATGAAATCTCTGTATAATTCGATAATTACAAAAGTAAAATAAAATATGTAAAATATATAAATATATAAAAAAATACAAATTTTAGCTAAATATATACAAAATAAAAGTCGGATACTTTTTAACTATTATAATATACATTACTAAAAGTTAATAGTTTATAGGTACTGAATGATATTTAAAGATCATTTTAGTTTCTGAGATCTCCAAAAACGTCACAAAATGTTTTATTCATTAATTATTTTTAATTACTATTACAAAAAAAAACAGTTAAAAAAACAGTTCTACTGAAATATTAAAAAATTCAAGTACAGATCTGAAAATAATTTTATAAAAATAATTATGGAGGGCACTCAAATTGATGTCAAAATATTTTGCTGCATTGTTTATTATATATGTATTGAGTTTCCTATATTATTTTAATGATTTGACAAAATTATTTTTATATCTGTATATCAAGCTAAATTTTTAGATGCTCAGTAAAATAATTCCTTTCCTTTAAGGAAAAATATACTGTTTATTTTCATTTAGCCATCTGGACAAATTGTTTCATACGAAAATAACAGAAATATTCTTATCGCTCAAAGATATTTCATGTGTTGTTTTTCCATAATGTTACGTATGCACGCAAAGTAGCAATTTCTCTGAAGAAGATAAACACCACTATTGTCACGTATGACATTCGTATCCTTCACCTGGCCTTCTGGTAATTCTCTATACGTGCACAAATATTTGAGAACCGAATGTGAAGGTGCATAAAATTATAATGACACAGTAAAACGTTATTTTAATTTCAAGACGAATTTGTTTCGATCCGCTTTTAAATACGAATACATAGATCTGTTTTTTGTGGCTGAACTAGTGTACAGTTTTGGAACTTGAAGTGAGACAGGTATATGTTTGATATTTGATGAAAATGAGAGAGTGTTAGTGCAGTCTAGTGCAGGAACAGAAAACATACCATATACCAAGATAATGCCCGAGAATTCTAAAATACAAATCAAGCGACAAAAGCAAATCGTATGTAAATCTCTAAATGTCAAATGCAAATAGTTTTGGGCTTTTTCATAATAAATAGCGTACGAATTTATTATGAACGTTATTATGAAGTATCTCAAACCACTTAATGTAAATGAGACAGAGTTTTCTCTCTCTCTCTCTCTCTCTCTCTCTCTCTCTCTCTCTCTCTCTCTCTCGAAATCATTATAAAATTCATATGAAATCTCTGTATAATTTGATAATTACATATGCAACCACCAGAAACATCGTATAATATTAAAATCGTATATTCTACCAAATGACTTCATATATAGTAAAAAAAATTATTTCTCAGAAATCATATGAAATCAAATAAAATTATATAATCAGTAGAACAATATTTCAGCTAGTGGTTACCCCTTCAAATGTCTTTATCATCGATATTGCTTCTTACGAGCGATTATTTATTACACAGAAAGAACGATTTCGCTGAAGTATCTAAAAATTTAGCTAGATACAGATCTGAAAACCATTTTATTGAACCATTACAATAATTATGTAGGAAACACGTACATGAGCAATATTACACATACGATGAGCAACATTATATAAGCATATATTACACAAAATTTTAATAATTTAGCAGCTTAATGTATCTATATTCGCCATAATTAATTTGATTGTCCAATAAAATTATTTTTTAATTATTTAGTTGAATTTTTAGATACTTTATTTTTTTTAGTAAAATCGTTCTTTCTGTGTTCATTATTACGTTTATCGCGTACATATCTGAAAATTCTTATAAATCCATATCTTATAAATCTTTATCTATCATTGGGACAAAATACTTACAAACTATTTATTTTTTTAGATTAAATAAAAAACGAATATACAAAACTTTATCTTTTATTAATTATCATATTTATATTTGTTTTGGAATGTATATCAGTTTTTTATCAGACATAGACATTGTTGCTATTGCTAGGAAATCCGTTAATGTTTCTCTTCGCATAACTATCAATGTAATAAGCAGGAAACATGTGATTTTTAGAATATCCTGTATATTCTCCGTGTTTTCTCGGCGCGAAGTTAACGTGAGGCCATTTATTATCTCGTAAGATAATTTCGCTTTGACAGTTTATCACTAAATGACATTTATTGCTTGAATGTACAATATTACGATCGTCTAACTACTATATAATTATACATATATAGGGTGTTTCAGAAATAGTTAGCCAAACTTTAA